AAAGTATCTTGTAGGTACTTTATACAGATAATTTCTGTAAAAGAAGAAAAATGGGAATATGTAAAGTTGCTTACTATGCCAGTTTTGGAGCCTATTTTGTTAGACGCTCATTTTTTTTTATCTTACGAAAAAATTAATTATTGCAAAATTGCAAACAGTATTATAAAAACTGCTTATAATTTCTGATAAAAAACACTTTTTAATTTATATTTATGTTTTATTTTTATCTTTTATTTAAGAAATATTGTCTAAAAACAAAGTAGTATGTTAGTATTGATGACTTTCCTCTATTACTGTTTATTATTTCTTTAATACCGTGTTTGGGCCGTAAGTTTATGTAGCGCTCAATGAGCGGTAAAGCGTAATTTTAAGTCGCAAATTGAGAATGACTCGATAGAGATTGAAACTTGAAACATTTGTTTTATATTTATAATATAAGATTTAATATATATAGCATTAAACATCCAGCTTGGCTCATGGCTATTTCTTGTTTATTAATTTGTTCAAATTAAGGAACTTTATTATATTATTTGAAGTAATGTTAGATAAATATATATTTTTTTATTTAAATGTCTTATTTTTCAACGGAATCACAGTATGATGTTGATTATATTTTGTAATAATAATTAGTGTAATTATAATACTTATTTAGGAATATATTAATAATTAATACTTTATATTGCAATATTAATTACAAGATATAATAATTTGTATTAATATGTATATGTTACAATAGTATTTATTAATGTTTAGAATACTTTCGAGTATGGCATACTCATGTCTTTTTTTTCTAAGATTAGATTTGTTTTTGTTTTTGGCTACCGTCTCGGGTCAAAAAATAAATTTTATGATTTTATCTTTATATTCCATAAAACTTTAGATAATTTACGAAGAGGGTTTTAGAAAATATCAGACATTGAAAATTACCATGTGTATCATATATTTAAGTGGCATTTAAGATAGCTTTTTGCTGATATAATCAACGTAAGTAATAATATTTTTGTTTCTCAATGGTCTTGATAAATATTATCCAAATCATAATTCTGAACAATATTTAAAATGTTTTAGCCGTCCGTCGGACACCTTGGGTAATTAATACTAATGCTGGCAGTATTGTAAATTTCAAGCCTTACAACTCAAAAAGTACTTAATGGAAACGAATATTTCATTATAGTATTTTAAAAAGTTCCCGAGATAAGCTATATGTAATGAAAAGTGAAAGATTCTGTTTAAAAAATTTGAAGTAAAAGTTAATTGCCCTAACCTTAACAATGCCATCCAAAGTCAAAACCAATAATATCATCTTATGTCCCCATCGAAATAAAAAAACTTTAGTCTGAAACATTTTTCAATTTAACTCAATATTTCCAAGATATTTCAGTGGATCCTTTAAAACGGAATATTCTACGTGTGTGCATGCATGCGTACGCGCGTAACCATTTATGCAATATACTCATAATTATAACAAACATTTTTTATATCAACATTAATTCTAAAAATTTTTATGTTCATTTTTCAATTTATTATTTATCAACAAAAAATATTTTCTTTACAAAATGAATTTCAATTTTTTTTCATCCTCGTTCTTTTAAATAATTATGTTTTTTTAAAAAATATAATTATATAGTATTTTTTTCTGAAAGATCGAAGTTTCTTTCCAAAATTCATATTTAAAATTTTTTGGTAACTTACAAAAAATAAGAATTTTTAAATAATATATGTTTTTTTCGAAACTATTGTTACTTTATAACTTATAACTTTTTTAATAAGGATATATACATTTGATTGGTACCGTTATATTTCTTACTGTTTGGCGTTTTGATCAAAACAAAATTTGTTAAAATATACTCATTTTTATGAATATTCTGAGCAATCAAAGTTGAGTATATACCGTTCCAAGTGTAGCGTTTATGTTACGGTTTTTAAGGATTAAGAGAGAGAGAGAGAGAGAGAGAGAGAGAGAGAGAGAGAGAGAAAGAGAGAGGACATATTATTTTACATTTAGATCTTATAATATTTTTCTTATAATACTTCATCTAATAATACCTTTCGTACATTAGATTGAAAACAACAAACATATACACAGTACAATGTAGAGAAAAATATAATTTAGAAAAATATTAGGTACTAAACTTAGTTTCCGCGGCTCACATTTAGATGACGTCAGTTGTAGTTTATTTTGACATCTGAAGCTGGCATTTTAGAGGTTAGACATTTGTCAATAAAATTCAGTGCGAAAAGATTTAAGTGAACAGTGCTACTTTTTTTTGTTACTAAACATAGCATGAAGTTATTTTTTCGACATGTGCTGCTTCATTACTCTGATTTGAAAAAAATTGCAACTGCAGCTCATAAATTGCTTGTCGAGGCTTGTGACAATTGTGCTCCATTGGAAAGAACATGCCAAGAATGGTTTCAACGATTTAAGAGTGGTGATTACGATGTGAATGAAAATGCTCAGGTCAACCGAAAAAATTTGATCGAATTGCAAGCATTATTGGAAAACTCAGCTCAAACGTTCCAAGAATTGTCTGCAGCATTAAATGTTACTCCGAAAACTGTTTCCAAACGTCTATATGCAATGGGAAAGATTCAAAAGGGAGGAAAACGATACCATAAGAATTAATCGAAAATGTCATTGCGAATCGCTTAAACATCTCTATTCCTCTGTTCGCCTGAACAGAAAAAAAAAGTTTTTTGTGACTGGCGAAAAGTAGATACATTTTAATAATCCCAAACGCAAAATCATGGATGGAACCAACCATCAACATCTACATCAAAGCGAAATATCCATGGCCACAAAGCAATGCTCTGCATTTGATAGGATATGCAAGATGTCGTTTACTACGAGCTACTCAAACCGAACGAAAGTATCACGAAGGATCACAAACGATTACAAATGAATTATCTGAATGAAGCATTGTTGGAAAAAAGGTCAACAATAGTCAGTAATCGATGCAAAATTATGCTTTTGCACTACAATGTTCGACCACAAATTGCAAAAGCCACTAAGGAAACACTGATGCAGCTCGAATAGGAAGTTCTCCCGCACTTAACGTATTCACCATACTTAGTTCCTTCAGACTTCCGATCGATGCAGCACGGCTTGGTGGATAAACACTTCAAAAATTATGAAGATGAGTGAAAATGGATCGATGAATTGCTTCAAAAGACCAATCGTCTACTTATTGCCACAAAGATGGGAAAATGTATAGCGAGAATAAATACTTTGATTGATATATTTTTTGTTTTTGATAGTTTCGAGATAAATAAGTTTTTTAAGCAAAAAACTGCCGAAATTAAGTTTAATAATACTTTATGCTTTTAACAATTGGTACTATTAAAAATATTGTAATGCAATAATAATATATAGCTTATTAGTAAAATAAATACTACAAGACTTGTTTTTCTTAATAAATTCACGTATGGAGGTATATTAATACATTTTCTTTACAATTTATTAATATAAAAAAATAATTTTTCATAAATATTTATCAAAATTTTTTACTTAATTATATTTATGTTATTTTTATTTACAAAATCGTGTATATTTGTAATACTTATTATATTTTTATGTATTATACTTTTAATAAAGTCACTATATAAAAAATTTATGCACATTATATAATCTATCAATCGCATAATTTATTAATTTTTTTCTGTAAAAATAATATATGTCACATATATCACATATGTCACATATACGAAGTCTTCAAATAACATACTCAAATTACTACGTAAATAATGCTATACTTTCTAATAACCATACCATAACGTATATTTGATAATAACGTATATTTGATTTCAATCAATTTATTTTTAAGAAAATTTGATAAAACGATAAAATGAAATTAAATTTTAAAATGGTTTCAAAATATATAATATTTAGATTATGATAATTTTAATAAAATAAAAAAATAAAAAAAGTTCGTGC